GGTGTGTGTGTGTGTGTGTGTGTGTGTGTGTGTGTGTGTGTGTGCGTGTGTGTGTGTGCGTGTGTGTGTGTGTGTGTGAGCGTGTATCTGAGTGTGGTCTTGCTTGTCAAAGAAAGGATTAAGCTGAAAGTGAGAGAGACAGACAGAGACATTTAGTAGCTTTTAAGCACAAGGGGGCTATCCTGAAAAATGCTGTTTTGAGAAGATCGAATGTATTTTTGCCCCTCGTTCAGTTTCTTTAAAAGTCAAGGAGAGTTTTCTGTATAATCAAACAAATATATACACACCAATGAAACCAAACTTCTCCTCTAGGAAGGGCAATGCTCACTTTTGGTGAAGGTCAAGATTTCGAAATCTGGGTTAGCCCGCTCGTTCTTAAAAGCGACCAATTTTTTGAGAGTCAGACACTGAGAGAGAGAGAGAGAGGGAGAGAGAGAGAGAGAGAGAGAGAGAGGGAGGGAGGGGAGGGGTGCAAGAAGACGAGAGTTGGGAGGGAGTGAAAGGGCATTAGCGTGCTCTTTCGAACACGATCACTTTTGTTTGAGGCCGAAGAAAGAACTGAAGGGAAGAATGGACGGGCTGTTTGGAAAACGTGGTGTCTGGATGGATAAACGAGAGAAAGATTTTCTATTGGACGATCTTTTCCAGTCCTTTTGTTTCATATGGTCAGCCAGCTGTTAAAATGTACTATGCCCAAAATCTTCAGGATTCGTTTTTACTGCAGTTTCTGAACCTGTAGTATCAGTTGCATTATTTGATCAAGGAAATATTTTGTCGAAATCTAAAGTCTAATAAATGTTTTTAAAAAAGCAAGAAAAATACAGCCTAATATAACGTAGGTGCACTTTGTCAAAAGAAATAATCCCCTTTTTTTCTCTCCTGTAAAACTTTGTTTTCTGGGCTTAGCACATTTTAACGGCTTGCGGACGACATGCCCTTTGTCCATGGAAAGGATGTGAGCGGAGACGTCTGTATTGACATGAGATTCTCATTAAAGAAGCCATCAACACTTCCAGTCACGTGATCCAACTTGTGTTTCTGTACCTAAGCCACACAATACTTGTTCGGCTTAGTTAAGTTATACATGCAGTATGAGCTTTACGGCACTTAATTCCAAAACAACCAGGTCATACAAGTGACGAAGATTGGAAGTGTTACAAGAAAGTAACGATCACAAGAAAGAAGATGGAGAGATAAGGACGAAACATAGATGTTTGATAGGAAAGAAAAAGCAGGCCACACCAGAGCACCCGTCAACCACCTGCTCTATTAACTTTGAAGAGATGCAAATTTCTGAACACATATTACGGTCGCAAACTATTACTATTACTATTACGCCATCAATTAATGTTTCGATCTGGAGTACGAGGGTATTTGAGTGAGTGGGTGGTTGGTGGGTGTTACGGTGTGGTTTGCTCCTTCGATACTATCCAACATCTGCAAGCAGCACCAAAGCAGAAACATAATATTAAGCATCAACTCCAACTAACAATCACAATAACCGAGTTAATGTTTAAGTAAGAATTTCACTGCACTTGCAAGACTAATTATGTCATATAAGTGCCGACGATTAGAAGTGTTACAAGAGCGTAACAAACACAAAAAAGAAAGAGATAAGAACGAAAGATGTTTGATAGAAAAGAAAGAGCAAACGACATCACAGCACTAGCAAACCATCCATGTAGTTGAAATATATGATTTAAAAAAAAACCCAGAATTTGTAAATACGTGTAATATGTATGTCCACATCACCAAAAGTGGAAGCCAGTCAAATCCTGCAGACACACAGGCGTGGGCCGGGGGACGGCTACAACATGTCACACAAGGGTCTCTGTATGACGTAGAGAGGAACCCAAGTCGTGCATATCCGGTTAACAGGTCAAGTTCTCAGACAGGAACCACTGGTTTATATTGCTGACCTAGATAACTTACCCAGTTTACGAGTGGAAAAAAAACAACCAGGTTCTCTCTGTCGGGTCTGCAAGATTTTTTTCGTTGTTAAAATATTTCGGGGTTGGGGGATATTGATGTTTGATTGTTAGGTTTTTAGGCTTTTCTTTTTCTGTTCTTTTCTTTGGGGTGGGGAGGAAAGGGGTGGGGTGGTTGGTAAGATTGAAGCAAAGCCATTGTATGTATTTATATATTCTTCTAAAATCTTACCGCCCCAAAATTCCACTCAATTTTATTTTTAAACGTATGTGTTTTAAGCCTCGATCGACATAATAGTCATCATTCTGGAGGCGGGCTTCCGACGCTGTTTATTAGGGCTTTTCGGGTGGGAGGAATACAACATTCCAGCAGAAAGATTGAGATACTTGATACAAATTTCATCCCACTCGGAGATCGAACTCGGTTCTCCTGAGTACGATAGCGAAACGCCTAACCGCCACACCACATGCGCCGGTTACTCAAACCTGACCACCACATTTTAGCCACTCAATTCAGATTAATTGTTGTAGTTGTTGTTGTCGTTGTTGCGTTGTTGGTGTGGTTGTTGTTGTTGTTTGTGGTTGCTGTTTTTTGTTGTTGTTGCTGTTGTTTTTGTTGTTGCTGCTGTTTTTCTTGTTGCTGTTGGTGGTGGTGGTGGTGTTGGTGGTGGTTGGTTTCGTTTTAGTAAGAGTTTTACGGCACTTGCAACACAGTTAGGCATTTATACGGCGAAGATTAGAGGTGTTGCAAGAAAGTTTCAAACGCAAAAAAAAAAATTATAAAGAGAGATAACGACGAAAGATGTTTGATAGGAAAGAAGCAGGCCGCGCCAGAACACCCCCCGCTGACCACCTGCTGACTGGGTTAAGAGTGATATGGAAAAAAATGTAATGTTCTTTGTCTTTCGGCTCAACGCCTTTCCTGTTCAATTGAAAACTGGAAAAGTAAAAAAAAAAAAAAAAAAAAAAAACTTGTTTAATACCGAATTATATTTTTAAAATATGCGTGTAATATTCGTGTCCGTATCACCAAGAGTGGAAGCCAGTCATATCCTGCAGACACACAGGTGTGAGCCGGGGGCCGGCTACAACATGTCACACAAGGGCCTCTGACGTAGAGAGGAACCCAAGTCGTACATATCCGGTTAACAGGTCAAGTTCTCAGACAGGAACCACTGGTTTATATTGCTGACCTAGATCACAGACCAATATTACGGCGGGGTTGGGGGGTGGTGGGAAGAGAAAAAAAGCTTCCGGATTCTTTCCGTCGA